GTACTCTTACATTTGCCTTGAACCCTATGACATAGGAGATATATAGGTGGTATATAGGTGGGAATAGAAATAATGCCTAATAACTTTATTCAATCTTACAAATAACTGGGAACACACGGTATTAAGTCATAAACTTCAAAAGACGCAGTCCCGAAAGATGTTCTTGATACACTGACATTGACTGTTGAGAACAGTCTACAAGAGTCTGGCCTCTGAACCAGTGCTCTGGCCATGGCCCCGGTGACTGGCATGCTTGCAAAGGCTACAAATGCCACCAAGCCTGAGTGGACCGTTCAGCACCTGAGCTAACAGGAACAGAAATAAATATAAACATCAGCAATTGGAAAATGGGCAAGAGAACATCTGAAAATAGTTTAGTAAGGGACCGTACACAATTTCTTCCCCTTGGCAAGAAAAAACAAAGGACTAAAGGCAACCACAATGAGGATTACAGATCATTTCCAAAGAATCATTCAAGGAATTAAAATTACTGTTCAGGAAATTAAAAAAAAGAAGAAGACTGTAAGAGGGTTTATTAATTAATCTCCTTCCAGTTTATAAATGGGCTCACTAAGAGGAGACAACAAACCATCTGGTCTCTAGGTCTGGTGAAGCTGAATGAAAAAAGTAGGCATAGTGCAACATGAAGAATTATGAGAGAAATGCTTTCGTGACTGTTAACAGTATATGTCCCATGAAATTCACCAGATTGAGAATTATTGGACCCTCAGACTAGTGTTTTCTGCAAGAAATTAAACCAGTGTGACTTTAGGTGAGCCCTGTAATATCTCTGGTCTCAATTTCCTCATCTGCAAAATGAGCATATTGGGTTAATATAAAAACCAAAGAAAAATATCATCACAGGCATAGGGCTTAGGATTCAAATTTTGTCTTTGTAACTTACAGCTTGAGTGACTTGGGACATAGTCTGTGCCTTGGATTTTTCATCTCTAAGATGAATGCTATCATCCTGTTGGGTTTGTTGAGATTAAGCGAGTTAATACATGGAAAGCCCATACTTAGCACAGTAACTCAATTACGGTTAAGTGTTGTGGGATTTTTTTTTTCCTGCTACTATTGTGTGTAAATAACAGAAGTCAACTCCTGCCGATTATGCAGGAAAGAAGTTTACTAAAAGAGTGTTTGTTTATAAATTTGGAGAACTAGATTTAAGAGTAAGCTTTCAGGGGGGGTTTTAAGGTTTTTAGGAAGTATGGTTTTAGGAAACCACAACACAAATCTGGAATAATAAGAAAATATATCATGGGTGCTCGACATTATAAGTTTGCACCAGTATGATTCTTACGCCTACAAGAAAGTTCACTTTATTGTAACCATGACTGTCCCAGCTGCAAAAGAATTTGGAATGACAAGTATCTGGCCTTTCTTAACTCTTGTAGGAAAATGCAATTTTGCTCAGATCCCCCAGATGTACGAAAAGAGCAGATGCCAGGTGGTCAAAATGAACTCAGCCCATTTGACCTCATGCTAAGATTCATTGCCTACAATCATTTATGAAAGTGTGAGTGGTTTCACTCAACATGGTGTACATTATTTCTTAAAGACTCTACAGTTCCATAATGAAAGATTTAAAATCTGTGACAGAGGAACTTTCAAATACTCTTGATATATAAACTGAATGACTAGGTAGGCTCAGCATCCAATATGTGAATTCAACCCCCTGGATTTATAGTTAGAATTAGGTCTTCAATTTGTCATTTACCTAGGTGAAGGTTTCTATGTGTGTATGCGTTATAACAGACAGTAAGTGGTTTCCAGATCTTCCATTAGAAACGTACAGGTTCCCAGAGTTTAATGAACATCCTCTCAAGAAAAACAAAAACCTATATTCTCTCTCTCGGAACTATTAATACTTTTGTGCTGAGGGAATGTGTCCCCTGAGAAGGACATCAGCCAGTCGGGGAAAGAGCCATTATAAGTGGGCTTTATCTATTTTAAACTCCTTAACTATAAAAACAGTGCCAAAAATACCGACAATACAGCTCCCAACTGTCCTTTCTGAGTAATGGACAGCTATTCTAATACCATGACTAACACCCAGTGTGGTCTTAAATTGGTCTAGACTTCCAGCCTGGTGTATTCCAAGTCCAGTGGGTGGTGGGTAGAACAGATCTCCCCCAGGCATGAACTTTGAGGTGTCTCTGAACCAGTCAGTCTCTGTGATCCCCAAAAATATCCTTGGGGAATTTTTTTCAAGTGTTCATAGAAACCATAGAAAGACAATAAGCTCTCCTGTGCAGTCATCTTGGCTCATAAGCAGATGAAGCCTCCCATGCACGTGATGTCCACAAAATAGTTCAGTGATATTTTTAGCAATTATAGCAAGAAAGAAAGTTGAAGGGAAATTTTTAAAGGTCAATCTGTTGGTTGCCTATTTATTTTCCAACTGTCAGACAAAGCCTGCCAGATCAGAAATTCTGGAATCGCTACTTTAGTATTATGGGATAAAAGTTGGGTTTCTTCAACCTGAAGAATAAAAATACTACCAAATTTATGCTGTGTATTCCAATAATCCATCGACTAGACCTCCAGGCATTTAACATACACAGAAATCGCCCCCAAGGGATCATCATCAACCAAATGGTGAGGGTCAAACCAAGAAGGTGGATTTTACTTTGGTGAAAGAAATATGCCTCCTTATAGGCAACAGATATTAGATATGTCCTTCCAAAATTCGTGTAATAAAATGATTGGAAATTGGAAAGGATTTCAAATGCGGCAGAGAGCTTGCAATTTAACAGCATGCTGATTTTTTTTTCTTAAATGAGTGTTTAAAGGTATGGATCTGTTATAAATGATCAAGCTTCCATATAACAAGGCAAAATGTGGGGATAAGGCTGATGGTCTCTGAAACCAGACTGCCTGGGTTCAGATCCCAGCTTTGCCTCTTCCCAACCATGTGACCTCAGCAAATTACTTAATGTGCCTAGGCTTCAGTGTTTTGGGCAAAACGAGGAGAGCCACTGTCCTGAACCTGTGACGTTCTTTAAGGGTTACGACAGTGTCTGGTATATAGCAAGCGCCGTATGGGTTTCTGTTAGACAAGAAATAAATAGAAGTTTTTAAGATATCTCTGAAAATATCAACTTCGTATTTTTCAATAAATTCTTCGTTAAGATACAGCTCACTGAATTCTTAAGGAGTTTTTTTCCCCCTTTAAGTATAAAACATTTCATTTCTCAGTGATGTAAATGTTTTGCTGCTAGATGATTCTGCAAAAATATAGGGGAAGGAAAAAAGGATAAGAACTCTTGAGGCAAATGTTTAAATACTTAGTAAAAGAAACACCCAGTTGTCGGAAGCATAAAATAATCAAGGCAAAGGTAGAACACCCATCCGATGCCCTTTTTTTTAATTGAAAGCAACATGATATAAATTAGGAATAAAAAAGTGATCACAATCAGAGACATAATTTACGTTGTGATCCAAAAGCCTTTGTGCTAATACTTATAAAATAATTGAGGAAGTCTCAAGTTGGGATACAGAAAGATTTAACGGTGAAACTAGCGGCCGCTTTACTTTTGATTTTAAACAATCCTGTAAAACAAGGTCTTTAAACAACTAACATCTGACTTTTAAGAATCTACATGGAAAAATATTTGGAAACGCAAAAAACTTAACACTAACTGCTTCTATAGATGGGTAGGGTGACGCACTGGGAAATGTTTCTTTTTACCTTACATATTTACCATGTTTTTCCTCTTCTACGTTACTGTTTTCTCCAACAACGTATGTCATTTTATAGTTTAAAACTTCTTATAGTTTAAAACTTCTTAAAGTATCACTTGTAGAAGTTAGCAATGAATACTGTCATTCCGTCCCCTATATTCACCTTTCTCCAAAAATCATAATAAGGGTGTAAAGACAAAGACCTCTGGCTTTGCCTAAGTGGGAATAAGAAGACCCTCCCCAGCAAATACACTATCCCAGGTCAGCAGTGGTGGACCAGGCCCACACTTCACATGGGGCCCCTGAAGTTGCTTTCCAGTCTTTAACTTCTGGAAAAATAAAGACAGTAATGCTGTCTTTAATATCTAGTGTCTAGTAAAGAAAAGAACCAGAACTACTCCTTCCCAAAGAAGGCCAAGGGTTGGTTGGTTTCACCAAGGGTTAGTTAAGACAAAGCCAAAAGAAGGAGGAAGAGAAGGGGGAGGAGGGGGAGGAGGAGGGGGAGGAGGAGGAAGAGGAGGAGGAAGAGGAGGGAGGAGGAGGAGGAGGAAATTCTATTTGGACTGAGAACAGCTCTGTTCCCCACAAAGAGATCCAACATTAGTAAACCCCTCTCACCATCCTGTCAGCTTTGAAAACAGATTTAGGTTTCTCACTAGCTACCCCCAAAATTAGCCAATCCACACCTTCAAACGTTAATCCACAATGTTTCTATGTAGGGGCTCCCATGGCCTCCCTCCCTTGGCCAACGAGAGGGCCCGAATTCAGGGAGACGAGAAGAGAATTCATCACTATTGGCTATGAGATGCCGAGAACGGTGCCACGCATATTTGATGTATTATCTCCCTTAATCAAAAAGCCAATATTATCCCCACTTTGTATATGAGAAAACTGAGGTTCCAAGAAGTTAAGCCATTTGCCCAAAGCCCTATAGCTAGTGAGTCATAGAGCCAGGCAGCCCAACTCCAGAACCCTTACCACCACCCCACAGACTCCAGGTTACAGCAGAGCCTCAGATTGAAATTATTGTCCAATCCTTCGATGGTCAGGCATTGGTGAGTGTGAACAACAATAATAATATCTGTCCAGCGCTTGACACATTTTCATGACACTTATTGCAAGCAAGTTGCTGAAGCACAGAGCATAGTATTAAAATCCACGTAAAGGACCTTGATTTTATCCTCTGACCAGCTATTACTTGTCAATGATAAATCTGTTCCTTATCATGACTTTGAAAATAACTGAGGCACTCAAACTAAAGGTCTTACTGTTTTCTTCTCTCCCTCGTACAATCCACCCTGGATTTGCAGGAAAACGGGCAAAGAAAATATGGTGGACCTCCACCTGGCTGGGATGCTGCACCCCCAGAAAGGGGCTGTGAGATTTTTATTGGGAAACTTCCACGAGACCTTTTTGAGGATGAACTTATACCATTATGTGAAAAAGTGAGTCCAAATTTAATTTTTTTTTTTATCTTTCAAGGGGAAAATACTCCACACTTTGTTTCACACTTGTTCTTGGTCAGTGATGGTGTCTCTTCCAACTGCTGTTCCTCAACATGGACAAAGTTAAAACCTTCCTGTGAGTGGTTGTCCCCTTATTGCCACTGACTTGATGTAGCTCTTCCTTGACTGACAGCTTGAACTGCTGCTGATAACTTTCAAATTCTGATCTTTGATCTGAAATGGCACAGACATATGGAGTTCGCAGCAAGATAGCTATCAGTCTATAATAATACTACAACAACCTTCCAGAATAAGATACTTCTCCAACTTGACATTTTAATCCGGTTTTAAAAAGTAAACCCTTTGCGTTTAAAGAATGCGTGCACTTGTCGTGGCTCAAAGGTGTATCCATACATAGTGATTCAGAATGAAATTTCCTTCTACAGGTTTGAATTTGTCTGCCCTAAGGCATCAACAAGATTAATAATGTAGTTTCTCAAAGTCATTATACAGTTAAGGAATACATTTCCTCAGTTTTAATTCCAAGCGATACGCTGTTACTAAACCCAAACTTACAGGGAGGACACAAAATTAAATTTTATTTTTATTATTTTACCAAGTGGTGTTTCAACAGCCCCATTCCTAGAAAAGTTAAAATTTTTTTAATGTTTGTTTATTTTTGAGAGGGAGAAGACAAAGTGCAAGTTGAGGAGGGGCAGAGAGAGGGGGAGACACAGAATCCAAAGCAGGCTCCAGGCTCTGAGCCGTCAGCACAGAGCCCGGCGTGGGGCTCAAACTCATGCTATGAGATCATGACCCGAGCCAAAGTCGGACATTTAACCGACTGAGCCACCCAGGTGCCCCATAGAAAATTTAGAAAAAATTTCTTTCTCTAAATGCCAAAATCGCTTGGATGTATAAGTCAGCCTCAGTTTCGGAACCATTCCTAATTTTGTACAAACAATCTCATTTGGCATGTGCACAAACTATGGGGATTTAATCTGGTAAGAATCTTAGATACTGAACCTGAAAATGGGGAGGACGCAGTTCCAAGGGGTAACCAACCACCAGGGTAGTCGCACACATTTAATGACACCTCTTCTCCCTGTATATGCCTGGCCTGTTAGGGTCACTCATCGTACAGCAGCCAGCAATAATAAATTACTGAGCCTGGCTTGCCAGACAAGATTTGTGGTAGCAAGAAGGAATAGTTTATAGGCAAAGCAAAAGATCTGAGGCCAGAGGGATATGGTGAGTGTCCTCCTACTGTGGAGGTCCTGACGTTGGGCCAGTCACGTAAGACTAGCACCAACCTTCAGCCTACAGATGAAAAAAACAACAGGAATCCCCAGATCGTCCTCTAAATCACATCTTCCCTGTACATCTTGAGATCATGGTGGCAGAAAGACAAAAGAAATCAGCTCAGCAAGGTTTCAAATGAGGGTCTGGGTTTTTGTTTTAAACATCAGTGGTGGAGTATGACCAAGGAAAGAGGAAACTATTGAAACTTCAGAGGCAATGTAGAGGGCAAGGACAAATCTGTCAAGACATTGTCCTTCTGAGGACAAACGCGTTTTCAGGTCCCTGGGATGGGGGATAGATCCACAGATAACTGAATGATGAAAGGCCATTTACTCCGTTGAAAACATACTCTGTTAAGTCAGGCTGAAATGCCACGTGTACACGTTTTCTTTATGTAACTTGACTTTGCCCATGAGTCAGATAGCAGATCCGAACCCAGCATGAAACTATGCAAAGCGTTCCACACGGGATGCAAATGTCAAACATAGCAGAGGTAAGACTTCAGAAAACGTTGTGTGGGTGTGTGTTTTCACTTGGAAGGACAAATAGACAAACTGGACTCTCTCTCTCTCTCTCTCTTTTCCCTGCAGATGGGTAAAATTTATGAAATGCGGATGATGATGGATTTTAATGGCAACAATCGAGGGTATGCATTTGTAACTTTCTCAAATAGACAAGAAGCCAAGGACGCCATCAAACAACTTAACAACTATGAAATTAGGTAAGACCCGCCTCTCCTGATGGAAAATGAAGCAGACAACGGATCTGCATAAATATGTGCTGGGCACTGTTCAACACGTTGGAAATATCAGGATACCTTTCCCTGTAAGCAAATGGATACAGATTGTTTAAGAGTAGGACAGTCATAAGTGGACTCGAAGAAAGCAAACGCAACAAACAAAAAGCAGAACCAGACCTACAAACACAGAGAGCAAAGTGATGGTTGCCGGGGTTGGGAGAGCTGAACAAAATGGGTGATAGGCGGGGGGAGACACAGGCTTCCAGTCACGGAGTGAATAAGTCACAGGGATGAAGGTCACAGCATAGGGTACGATGGTACTGTAACGGCATCTTACGGTGACAGACGGTAGCTATGCTTGTGGTGAGCACGGCACTCTGGGCTTTCATAGCACTTGAATGCCATGTCACATTGTGTGTCAACTACACTCAAAAGATAAATCAAGAGTGAAAAAATAAAACCACCTGCGAGGAAATGGCTACTCTAACTTGGTGTCCTTAAGAACCTGCCCTCCGGGAAAAGTAAAACTGTCCGCGCAACTTGAATGGAAAGAGTCAGCCGTCACAGCCAGACCTGGAGGAAGACGATTCCAGAGAATAAGAACACCAAGGGCAACGTTTCCCAAGTGGGAACAAGCTCAGTGTGTTAGAGAACAGCACCGAGGAGGTGGAAACAGACGGGAGAGTTGAAGCCGATGCAGTTGGAGAGCCTTATACACCGCGATTCAAAATTTAGCTTTTATTCTAATAAAAAGGGGAAAACATTTCACTAGGTCCGTGCTTTTTAAACCAGAACTCTGGCTGTTGGGTGAAGTAACAGGTAGGCAAAGATGGAAAGGGGGAAGCTGCAGAGGGAGACTCATTTAGGTCTGGACGACAGATGATGGCAGGTGTACAGGGGCCGGCAGTGCAGGTGCTCAGAGAAGCCGAATCTGGGATGCCTTCTGGAGGTTGCACAGACAAGACAGGCTCCATATTGGATTGAGAGTACAAGCGATGTTCGAATTCAGGGAAGAAAGCTAGGATGTGGGTCCCAGTATCTGTGGATGAGATAGAGTCACTGAGATGGGAAAGAATGAGAGAATAGCCTGCTGGACACATGAAGAGCTGAGTTGGGGTGGATTTACATTCGAGATTCACGCGAGACATCTCAGGGGAGCGGTTGAAGAAGTGATCGTCTGCATGATATCAGAGTCAGGACAGAGGTCACAGAGCCAGCCAAACATAGGTGATGTTGCAAATCATGGGACCAGTGGAAGGTTCCAGGGCACAATCGGCCCTGTGCGATCAATAATTGGCTTTTATCAGCTGGAAATATGACTAGCATCACGAAACGGAGTTCTAACACCTTTACATAGAGAGGGAACTGTCCTGAATCCTCTCATAAAGGAAGTCCTGGGCCACCTGGAAGAAAGATTAGTGGAACCGTTGAAAAGTAATAGCTTTGGGGTCAGACAGGCTTCGCCTGAGTGCCAGCAAGTGACATAACCTCTCCGAGCCTCAATGTCCTCCTCCCTAAAGTGGTGATATGAGTCCTCATTTCACAGGTGTTATTGTGGGGATGCTCTAAAGATTTTTCAATGTTTACTCCAGTGTGTGGAACTTGGTAATAGGTCAATAAATGACAGAACTCTTACATATTAGCACATTCATCAATTCCAAGATGCAGTTTTCATTGATTTCCTCTCTGCCTCTGAAAATTATTGTCATCCTAGACGTGAATAGAGAGTAGATTTCCTACAATTATCTTTTCCCTCACTTCCTTCCTCTACGCCCCAAATAAGTCACGTATTATGCTCATAATTCTGTAAAATCAATTACCGGGTCATTTTTCTTAAAACTCTCCAGCCGCCAAGAGATTGACTGGATTGGAACTGTAACAGCCCAGCCACCCCATCTCAAGGTCAGAGCCTGGAACCGGGGTTTGGAGGAAGGTATCCAGGAAGTTCCGCACATGCCTCCACAGATCCCAAAGAGTTCTGTCTGGAATGTGGAGGGTTGTCTGGCGTGGGAACCAGGCGATCAGAGCACAGGTGCCTTCGGAGAAATCCTGGAACCTCGTGCAGCAAGTTTTACCATCGGCACATAATTACTCACGTGTTCTCGGCATCTGTCGCGGAAAATAATGCACCCCTGAACTGTTTTGGACAGGGCCACAGCAAGCTCTATTTTAATGTAACTTTTAAATATTCCAGCCACAGGGATCCAGGGATCGGAAGAGTCCCCACTCCTTGGTCTTTCATGGAGCCTAGACATCTTAAGAGCAA